CTTCCCCGCGCTCCCCCCGGGCTCCCCCCGCGCTTCCCCCGGGCTCCGGGTAGCCCTCCGAGGCGCCCGGCCAGACCTCCAGGCTGCGCCTACATTCATGCTTTCTGGATTCAAACTCGGAGCTCCACCATCTGAGTCGCGTCCTCAGCCCTCGTTTGCTTTAGTTATGTTCCCGCCCCCGCCATAGGCCTCAGACTTCGGTTCTCCTTCAGTGTAACTGGGATCCCAGGCACATGCCACGGCACCCAGCTTCTCGGTTGAGATGGGGTCTTGCTAACTTTGTACTTGGACTGATCTCCAGCCCGTGTTCTCCTGACCATTGCCTCTTGGGTAGCTGGCTAGGATTACAGGCACGAGTCACCACGGCTGGCTTTGTTTTTCCTTTTAATTTTTTTTTTTATAGTATGGCAAAAGCCATATTTAGGTCATTTGAAGATAAGGGTCTCACCGACTGTCCTGCCCAGACTGGCTTTGAACTTTGATCCTCAGATCTCAACTTCCTGAATAGCTAGGATTGCTGGGATGAACCCAGCACTGAGCTGGGTTTGTTTGTTTGCTTGTTTTTGTTTTTTGTCAGTTCTGGGGCTTGAACTCTGGGCCTGGGCGCTGTCCCTCAGCTCTTCAGCTCAAGGACAGCACTCTACCACTTGAGCCACAATCACTTCTGGTTTTCTGGTGGTTAATTGGAGATAAGACTCTCACAGGCTTTCCTGCCGGGGCTGGCTTTGAACTGCAGTCCTCAGATCTCAGCCTCCTGAATAGCTAGAATTACAGGCTTGAGCTGTCTTGTAGGATCAAATCTGTGGCCTGTGTGATCTTACCCAGAGCCAACACCTCCCTGAGATTTCTGGGAAAAGGGTGGAACAGATGTAAGCAAGAGTTTTCACACCCACTACTTCTAGCTCTTCATCTATCTAGAGCCTTGGAGCCAAAAGGAGGAGGAATAAGTACACGCTACTGTAGGATTTGACATTCTATTGTTTGTTTGATTGGAAATTTGACTCAGGAAAGTAGATGGTCTGATTTCTGGAACTGACAAACTGTCTCCTTAAGATAAGAAACATACTTAAAACCAAAACTCTGGAAAGATAACACCAGTCATAGAATCAAAGGTTACAGTTGTTAGGAAATAGTGTTCAAAATTGTGCTTACTGAGAAAGGCAATATTTCAAAGCCTTGTGAGCTTATGTAAAATTTTGACTGAGATTTTGGTCAGTTTGCTCTAAATATTGTATATCCTTAGGTAGTCTAGTTTGCTTGATGTTGGATAAGTTTTATCAGTTTAATAAGTAAACCTCTTTCATGTAAATTATAAAGTTTAATAATAAGTAATTAATGAACTTTACAAAACATTTCTAAGCTTACTTTTCCTAGAGGTATCCTTTCTGAATTTATTGTCTTCCCATGAAAGTAATGTGAAGGATGATTGTGAATGGAAACAAAGTTAGGGAAAGATTCTTTAATCCCTTGGCCTTAGTGGAGGTCTACATTGTAACACAGGAGTCAACTTTCTCCAGTTGCAATTTATTCATCCCAGCACTCAAATGTTACTGTTTTACCCCAATGACTTGTTATTAAACTGTGGCCAATATGTTTAATTATGTACCTTAAACACATTTAAGTTTCTGAGGTTTTTCAAAGTAAAACATTTACTCCTGGGATTTTACAGACTCTGCTTAATTTCTTTAAAAATAGAAAATTTTAATACTTTAATTGCTTTTAAATAAGCTAGGGACCAGTGGCTATGCCTGTTATCTTAGCTACTTAGGAGGCTAAGATCTAAGAAGGATCAAGATTCAGAGGCTGGGCAAGAAAATACATGACTCATCTCAAATTAACCAGTAAAAAGTTGAAGGTAGAGCTATGGCTCATATGGTAAACACCATCCCTGAGTGAAAAAGCTAAGGAACAGTACCTAGGCCCCGAGTTCAAGCTCCAAAAGAAACACACACACACACACACTCACACACACACTGTTTATACTTAATACCTTCTTAACCTTGAAGTCTGACAGCCACTTTTTCTCAAAAACAATGAATTTACTATTTATGGATAGTTTCCTTGGATCTGGAATTTGGAGGCTTATCACTTTCCTGAGGGTTAAGATGCTGTCCATAATGTGATGTTGGAGAGGCATCTGGTTACTTGTCAGTGTCATAGATTATGATGCCACCTCCTAGGTCAGACCATGATCTGTGTCCCTTACAGCAGCAGAGCAAATCAGTAATTTGAAGCTGAGGGCAGCAAGTGAGAGCTATAGATAGCTGACTTTTTAATATTTTGGCTGTGTCAGAAAGCCATTACAGTAGTTTTATGGGAAATCTCACAGAATCCCTGATATTTTAGTTTTTCTGTGACTGGACTTGTGAGCAGTCTACAAATGCACCTGCTCAGATGAGCTCTGAGGTTGTACGAGTATCTCTACCCAGGAGCTCTTCGCCCCCACCAATGGATATGTGCATAGCTAAAACTTGGCTGTGGAATGTGCTTGTATGACTGGCCAACACAGCTCACTTGAGGGAGGTGGAGAAAGTCTTTGTAGGTATAGTTTATTATTGTTTACTCTGTTTTAGTTAATATATGTCAGAAAAATCTGGTCTAAACTGGTCTTAACTGAAATGGATTTTTCCTGGCCCTGGTGACTACAAGTGCAGGACTACTCTGAGGTCAGTGTAGTGCTGTGGTATTCAGCATCTCCCTGCACCTCTCTCCTATCCAGCAGAACACACATGGAAGTGCTGGAGTTCCTTGGACAGGTCCATACAACTCCCTGGTCCAATTCTTGTTCTGGACCAGGGTTGGCTTGAGTCTGCTGTGGCCAGGAGCAGACTGTCCTAGTACCACAGACTTGGTTACCTGCCCCGTGTGAGTTCTGTGAGCAAGGTGTCAGTGAAAGCAGACATTCTGCACTGCTCCTTAAATAAACAGAGTAGATGGGCAGCAACAAAGAAAGCTGGGTAATCCCATTCAATAAACTGTTGTCTGGATGAGTGAATGGAGTGAGTAGAGGACCTGTGCCTGCCCTCCGAGGACCACATCACACTGATGTGAGACAGATAAGGCAGGAAAGCTAGGCAGCCCCCACATGGCATCCAGCGTCTCACTGCCCGCTCAGATGGGATTGTGCTGTCCTTGTTCACTAATGCTTGGTGACCTTGCATCCTTCATGAATCTGAAAGACCAGCTTTGTCACAGACATGGTGAGGTTTCTAGCATCATTGCCCTTAGCCTCCTGGGTTAGAGGAAGCTTGTGAGGTATGTTGATACCTGTGGTCCGTCTCCTGAGCATGTGCAGCAGCGCTGGGTCCATCGTGCTCTCTGCTGGGCTTCACAGGAATTCAGACCTTGCAGATTTTGTTATTAACTTTTGGTCAGTCAGGTGGCTTAAAGTCAGGTCTTGGGCACTGTCCCTGAG